TCTTAGATGCAAACAAAAAGAAATGCCGATCAATGCAATCGGCGAGGAAGAAAATCCCGGATCAAAGGATCAGGAAAAAAACTTTTAGGACAGCCGGTCAACACGACCAACAGACGAATTTTAGGTATGGGCAGCGCGGCCCCAGGTGGCAGTCATGGAGATCGACAGCCCCGGAGGCGGCGCGGTGCGGAAGCTGCGGCGGCTTGGAGGAATATATGGGATATAGTGGAATTGTTGTTTATTTTTTATTTTTTATTTTAGGGGAAAGGCCATTATGGCTAGCTTTATTAAGATCAAATAAGAGTTACATCGTTCACTAGATATGGAACTAAGAACCCAGGTGGTTCATCAGTCCAACTAGTCTCACACTTATTACAAAAGCTGAATTTAGCTAGCTCATGAGCTACCGAGTTTCCTTCATGAAAACAATGAGAAAAGATGACCTTTCCTATTGAAGTCGCCGTGTCAATGCATTCAGCAAAGACCGCCGCCGCTGCATCCCACCACTGGTCTTGTCCTTGACAACAGTTCACCACACTCAAGGAATCAGACTCCGATTGAACCCTGTTAAATCCCAATGTGTTTGCCAAAATTAGGCCATCTCGCATTGCCATGGCCTCAGTTGTAACGACATCTGCTGCAAACTGAATAAATTTGCACTGAGCTACAATAAATCTCCCTTTCTCATCCCTTAGGACAGCCGTTGTGGCACCAGAACCCTCATCTGCAAGGAAAGAAGCGTCTACATTTAACTTAATATACCTTGCCTCCGGCTTCCTCCATTTATGATCTCGCTGCTCTTGCGTTCGTAGTAAAGTTTTCTTGTAATTTCCAGTCAAGCTTAAGACTGAAATAGGCCACCGAAAAGCATGAGGGCACGAGTCATGGTGTGTATGGCGTCGGCGCAGCCACCATAAGTACCAGCATCCTGCTGCAATAGCTTCCTTTTGGTTAACATTTGGCATGATCTCCAGCGGTGAATCTGGTTCCACGAGAATGAATTCCAAAATAGCTAATCCTGATCTATCTATCTGTATTGCATGATTGATGTGGTCAAGAATACCAAGACCAGACCACAGACTCCTCGCCAGATCACATTGAAACAACATGTGTAGCATATCTTCAGGAATTGTTGTTTATTACTTGAGCCTCGTGGACGTATATATAGGAGTACATGATCAACTTGGAGTACATGACAAAATAGAAATAAATTCTAGTCCATTGTATATTTCCTAACTAATACGATACTCAACATAACGTGTGCCACTTGTTAATTTTGTAATTTGTTATGCTTATGTGATGTACATGATGAATGTGATGCTTCTATGATAAGATGAATGTGAATGTGAATGTGAATGTGAATGTGAACGTGTAGGTGTATGTGTATGTGTATGTGTATGTGTATGTGTATGTGTATGTGTATGTGTATGTGTATGGTGAATGAGATGAATGTATGTTGATCTTTTGAGATTTGTGATAGATCAGTTGCTGTCAATTATGTTTGCATGGCTGGCTGGAGAACAGAAATGAGCATAGCCATGGGAATTAAGGATACAACCGATTTTATAGCACAAACCGACTGGAATACCAATAATATCTCAGACGGTTCTGACTTTTGCTCATAGAGTGACTAAGATTCAGAAAAGAAATATTCATATCGGTTTGTAAACTGCAACCAATGTGATTTTCTCGACCAACAACTAACTGAGATGCCTATTTTCCCGACCGGTTTCGCGACATTGATAAATAAGTCAGAGTATTAACTCTATTAATTTAATGGAGATGGAAGACAAAACCGTCGGAAGCCCTATACTAAACCCCCCCACTAGAACCCTGACATGTACTGGTGTATATGCAAAGGGAGAATGCAGACGGAAGTGGAACCGACTTAGGTAGAGGTGCACGTAAGAGATTGCTTAAATTTTCTCCCCTTGCACTCGTGCGGTCAGCGCATAGGAATCCCCAAAATTTAGCTGAGGTTTGAGTACGTGGGCCATCTTCTCCCCCCTATTTCTCTATTGCTTTCAGTAAGTCGGGAGTAGCTCCTCCCAGAAATCCTGCGGGTGGTAATGGGTTTCAGTGACAAGATGTCAGCTCCATCAGAATACAGCAGGTACGTAGACCATCTGTTTTGCCGACAGCCGGTGCAAACAAATGGAGCCCCCGCATGGATACCCAAGGAGTATGTCCAATAATAAGGCCAAGCTCGTCGCCGGTACGGACAACTAGTTACCTTATCGTATTATTATACAATACAATCCGCGGGAATATTATTATTTTTGGCCATGAACATGGCCGTGTTGTCAATGCGGTATGCATATATGTGCCCAACTTTTTCCATGTTTTCATGGAATGGTCGCCGAAAAATTCCGCCAATTCTTTTATGTGCCGTTGTTGCATCTTCTACACAGGTTGGAAAAATCTAATCACTGGCACTGAAGTGTGCGCGGCGCGTACTAAAAAAACAGCTCACGGTTTTTTAGGCCCAATGGAAGAATATCATACTAGCACATGCATGTACAACTCCTTGACTTCATTAACCGAAACCAACTCATCTCACTTGCTATATATATAGGGTTAACTAGAGTAACTAGAGTAGTGTTTCCATCGAGGCGATCGAGCAACGCATAGTACATAGGGTTAACTAGAGTATACTCTATAGAAGATCAACCTAAGCGAAGCTGTGCATCTACCACCGCCACTAGCAGCAGCAGCACCAGTAGCAGTAGAGCATATCCTGAGACGGGGATAACTGAACGATTGGCGAAGAGTGCCACAGGAATGAGCACCTGGGGGCTGGGGCGCACCACTTTGCCGGACCGGAACCGGACTTGCACTCGCCTCCACTGGCAGTGAATTTAATGTGGCGCGGGAAGGAGAACCTACGTGACTTTCCCAACTCCCAGCACTACAGTGCTCCTACGCCTACGCGTCCGATGTGTAGATAGATGGCACGTGAGAAACTTAGGCAGATCGAGATTGCAAAAGGCTAAGCGCTGGCAGTGAGTGGTCCAATGCCATATATCCCGTGCAGCGCCAGTAGTCAAACGACCTAAGAAAGAGCATCGGCTTTGGACGTGCATGGGCATGAGCTATCATATCTACAGGACCAGTCGCCCGTCGTGGATGCATCCCCTTGACTTGTGGGCTGGCGGAGAACTACTAGAGATATGACACTGGATTTGTCCAGTGTGGAGGAGACCAGGAGGGTGGCCAGTGGCCGCAGCTCCCCGAGAGATCTGGGGTTAGCACCTGATTAGCTCCCAAGTGGTATTCCGTGAGGTACTCACGCCATGCATCTCTTGGTCCTACCACTTTGGATTTATACTTGTAATGGAGGAGACCAGAGAACACATATATAGGCATCAAGAAACGGCTCAGCAGGTACCAGACCCACAAAACGACGCTATTAAGATGCTAATGGCATGCATGGATCAATGAATGATATGCTCCTACAAATGCATTTGCAATCTTTGGTGTTACATGTCAAAAGCACGGATCAGTACAGGCAAGAGATGCATGTTATTGCTATCTTACACCGGGCACTCTAATACACTACCTTCGTACCAAAATATAAGACGTTAATACTATATAAGTAGGCAACAAAAAGGGGGCACATGCCTTTTAATGCAAACATTCGAAGGAGTGGGGCAGACACGAAAGAGTAAACAATCGATAAAGCGCGCCGGAGAAGCGAAAATCTTCGTGCTTGTTTATATATAGCCTTGCATTACTCTAGTAGACTAGTGCGCGCTTCAAGACGAAAAGAAAACGGCCAACACGTAGGCTGCACACAACTTTTTGCTTGATCATTTGTTAACCCGGAGACTTGCCACGCATAGTTGAATATACTTATATCCCTAGCTAGCGAGCACGAGGCTTGGAGTGCACTTACACTCCCACACAAGTCGTACAGAACTGCAGGTCGATCGAGTTCCCTGCTGAAACATGCGATTTAATGCCATTATGTGGCAGCAGCGTGAACGGCTGGTTCGGATATATATGGTCCATCCGAAAAGACATGCCAAAAAGTAGGTAAACGCGCCATGATAGTAAGGCAGTGGCCCATAAATTTGAAAGTGTTCATGCAGTGCAGTTGCTGGCACGCAAGGAATTCCAATAAATCACATCGCTTACTTTCTCGCTGGTCCTGTTCGTCGTCCCCGGGCAGGTTCTGATCCCTGTCGGTGGCAGATAGTAGAATTGATGCTACCTGATGAGGACCTGGGAGCAGAAACCTAAGCCCGGGAATGGGGCAGCCCACCTGACCACACCAACATGGCGTCGGCTTCCAGTATGTACATGCTAAGTGTCGAGCCATGACACCTCCCTGTCCGCGAATACAATGTATAACCTCCCGATGGTCACTGTCAGCTTGGTTGTCTGCGCCAATAAGCAGAACAAAAACAATGCGCAGAGCCAGGGTGAAAACAGCAATAAACAATGTAAAAGATTTGAAGGTAGATGTCCTTGCAATCGAAGCATAGTGCCAGGTACTACCAACCTCGTGTTGCGCATTTGGTGTAAAGTGGGCAAAGCTTCCCTTCCCCTGCTTAGAATGATGAGAAAACTACACACTTCTAGGCGCAAATGATGATAATGTCCCGTGTCAAACTTATACGGTGATGTGGAGAGCAGTCGCTTTCCATAAAATGGTCATGGTTTGTCAGGATTCAGATTGAGATTGAACAAAAACTCTGAAGGTGGGGATGAACTCAGAATCTGGATCTTTGAATGGGTCTCCGAAGGGCAGTCCAACAAACTAGCTGAGAGTGGAAGAAAACCGTGTTCGTCCGAAAATACATTGTAATGTTTTTACATGTACTGCGTTTGGCAATAGTGGGAGTACACATTTTGGATTCGGCCTAACCGATCTTAAAACCCCTAAAACTTATCGAAGCTCCGTGGTACCGCCAGCCGCCAACTAGTGCCTAGATGTTGCCAGGTGAACACATAAATAACCTCCGGGAAGTTCAATTATAAACCGGCTGCTTGATTTGCTATCTAGGACTCATTGCTTTCTCTTCGCCTGCCTGCAGAGGGTTGGTAGAAGGTTTGAGAAACCATTAGCCCTGTGAAGTATCAACCTCGACGAAGAATTAGACCGTTACCGTTTTGGCCAGCAAACTGGCTTTCTGATCATCAAAACCAAGGGAAGCCAGAACCTTATGACCAGCTGACTCTTTATCTGACCATATCGCCAGGAACAAATGATTGGCCGTTACCTCTCCGTCCTCACCTGAAGTCAGAATTCAACTCATTAAACAAAACAAATAAGGAATAAACATATGATATTTCACATGGGCAGGTAGAAAACAACAAAGAAATGCATCACACTTCCATTCACGCTGAAACGCGTACACAGATCAGGAACAGTGCTACCCGGTCAGCAAACATACAAGGGAATCAGCAATCAGGGTTCAGGACACAAAGTTAAGAATAGTGCATAGTGCACTTAACAAGCTGTAGATAAAACCAACAGGACTCTAAGCATAGTGCAATTAACAAGCGGTAGATAAAACCAACAGGACTCTAAGCATAGTGCACTTAAGAAGGGAGTGGCCATAAATATCTAGACCCCATTTAACTAAATGATCATATTCATATAGTGTTAGACCCAAACATGTAGCAACAAACCGATTCAGAAATGGAAATACTACTATATTGCAAAAGAGGGGGAAATACTAGCATTCGAAACTGTAATGGCTACAGTATGACCTGGGACAGTCAATTTGTGCAAGAGTTTTGATGCAATTTTAGACTAGCACTGTAGTTGATACCTACCAAACTTTACAATACCAAACGTACACGACTTCAATTCCAGGTCCTTCTCAGACACGCAGATCACAAGTGACATGTCTGGAGAGGTACATAATCTTAACGAAAAAAAGACCTCCAACCCCTTCAATTCTCACAAGACTTAACAAAATACAGTCTTTACCTGCCCCACAGTCCTGCATGAATGAACTATGAAGATGTCATCTCATGAATGCCGAGCTGGAATTGTCAAGCTAAGAAGTTCATGGTGGTCTTAAGGACTCCTGGATGCTAATTCTAAATATAGGATTATCAATGCAGAAGCAATCCCATCAGAGCACTTTTTATATAACTTTGTTGCAGACAGAGTTGCTAACACACCCAGTGTGTTTTTAAACTCAACTTATTAGAGGAAACTGGTACTAACATGGTCCTGTTCAAATCATTTTTGGTGAAATGATATCAAATGGACAAAAGTGGTAGATCTAGGCTTCATGCAAAATATAAGCAGCTCTAAACCCTATATAAACAATACCTGCCGTAAAAGACATGCTGAAACAGCTTTATCAATCCAGTGGACGAACGGTGTTGGTAAGTCCTTTATCAAGTTGGAAACAAAGCGATTTTACAAAAGGAAGGAATTAAGTACTCCCTCCTACATTGACATGTCTCAAATGTAACCTTGACCATGAGTTTTTATGAAAATATATTTCCTCAAAATCAAGCATGCATTAGGAAAGTATATTTCGGACCTAATTCTATTAATTTGGTGTCGCAGATGTTGGTAAAACCTTAAAATGTTTGACTGGGATGGAATCTAAAATGGGTATGTATTGTGACATGGAGGGAGTAGGCTTTACAGCATATCCAATGCATTTGCAGGTTATTACAACAAATGAGTAACACATGCCTTGGTCTGATGCTTGAATGTATGGTCCTATGCTTGGTGAAAACTGGCATGTTTTCAGTTATTCAGTGAAGGCGTCCTTGGCTGCTTGCTTTATACTGACATTGAATTAACAAGTTGTGTCGAAGTCTGGTCAAAACTTGTCCACTTCGGTTTGCTCAACTTTGTGAAGAATACTGACATGCTAATGTGAATCATAGTTGCCGGATTTGCTACAAAAGCCACTGAACCCCGATTCCAACAGATTTATCTAGAACAGGGTTCAAATTTGCTCAGATCGGTAGCTAAACGGTGCCAGATTCGCCGAACTCAAAACAAACCCAAAAAATGAAACCGTTGGCTAGCCTGGTGCGGCCATGTGTGCAGCAGCACAACCCTTGTTCTAGCGGCCAGTGGCTACGAAATTGCGGCGCTCGGCGCAGACATAGTGGGTGGGCAGCAGCTACTCGACCCGGCACATGCATGTAGCTGGTGCACGAAGGCGACGGCCAATATGTGGTGGCCGGCATGACAACAATGAAGATGTCGGATCCGATGAGTCGCCTCTGTGCAGCAGCACCTTCTGCATCGCCTCCATCGCGGATAAGGCGATGTGTCCTACGTGATACTTGCTGCAGCTTCTACACGGGGGGCCCTGGTGCATGCAGAGCAGTCCACCAGTTGGGGATCTGGAATTAGGAAGGCCTGAAATTTGAAGACAATGGGGTGGAGTTGGGGGCGCGGGCTTTCTGGAGAAAACAATGAATCTGGTCGGATGAGACTAAGCACTCCGGCATGTGGCCCCAAAGTGAATTTTTTGGTGGGAAGTTTCCCTCCATTCGTCTCTAATCAGATTTTGGTATTTGTTATGTCACTGATTCAGGTGCTCATTAAGAGCTTATATACGCATAAAGGGTCAACAACACATTAATAGTATTTTTTATATGTGCATTTTTGTGGTTTTTAACTATTCAACTCATTATGTCTTTATGCATGTAGCCATGTAGTCAAGCCGCTAAGCTGGTTGCAAACAGTCCACTGGTTGATTATGAACTAAACATTATTCTATTAGTGACTTTATTGTTTCATGCCCTTTGGCACTCGTATATTTTTTATTTTATTTTTTTGCTTATACTGAGTTCAGAATCCGAGTCATCGCAGCCATCGGATTCAATCGGAGTCATTGAATTCACGTAACGGTCACCCGATTCACGAACCGGAGATGTATACCCCCTATCAAACTCGATTCATAGGCACTAGTGAATTGCGAATCCTGAACCTGAATTGTGAACGAGCGAACTGCAAATCCGGCAACTATGATGTGAATAGAATTTTAGCAACTTATTGGCAACACACCAAATGAATGCAAATTCTTGTCAATAAGACCAAATATATTGAACCAAATTTTGGCCACATTGACATATGCACTCTCCATTTGGGACCTATGAGTAACATAAAGTGGGCATAGGCTGCTTTTAGGACTTCACAAGAGGCACAAAAAATATTACTAAGCCCACAATAGACTTACGGCAACATGGTCATGCACACATGTTGTCCTCGAATTTGTCATGCAGATCGAATGGTCCAACCATAAAAATCCTATTCATTGCTTACTCCATAGTGTATAGTTACGGGTTCTCAGGGTCGCTGTAAGAAAATACCCTCACTTTTCAAACATCTGAGAGAAGAGTAATTGATTTGTAATATGACCTATAGAGAAATACAGATACCAAACCGATATCTAGATATTAGCTCATCGAGCCAGGAGCCCAGTATCAACATAATTTCGATTCTCATCAGTATGTTCTCCCCCACAAAAGCTTGAAATCATTGTCACATATCAACAATTTCAGAGACTCTCAGAAATGAAATCAAAGACACTGCACACTGCAGCATTTATGTTCATCATTTAAACCCAGTTCGTGCTCTTATGTTACAGATTCAGGTCAGCAGGTGTGCATAGCCTAATGGTCTGATAGACATTCATCAGGGAAATGAAGTAAATAATATAGATGACAGAGAGATAACACATCTGAGGAAAAACAATTGTGGATAGTGAGTTTGATCATTAATCTACAGACCGTATGCACTTCTATTTTGGACGGAGCGTTGGTAGTTATGGCTCTACAAATGTAAACCAACACTATACAAGAAGGTTAAATTCGAGGAAATTGCAGTTGAACAAACCAAATTGAAATATGTCCTACATGAATCATCGTTTTCCCAATAGAGTGACCTAATAGTATATACCTAGTTTAGAGTGATTTACTGTGGTAACCGTAAGCCTCTATGGTAACACATTTTACTTGTTTTGTACTTGAAGTAGTAGCATGCATGCAATGATCGATTTGTTAAAAGCATGACTACGGTTACCTGTTACTATTTAAGTATTGGCTATCCAGACTGTAGGAGATGGTAACATATAGTCATCGTATAGAAAGTAGAAACACATTACTATGTAAAACGTTGCAGAAATAAAGTACTCTCTCCGTAAAGAAATATAAGAGCGTTTAGATCACTAAAGTCTTCTGTTTCTTTACAGAGGGAGTAGTAAACATAGTATTCTACATTCCTCCTCTATGCCTAGGTAAGCTTAATCTTTGTGTTAACCCAAGACGGAATCATTAAACATATATGCAATGTGAATATATGATATTAGACATATTTATTAATCTTCAGTAGACTATCAATTATGGAAAATAATACGCCAACACTACTTGTTCTGCAAACAAGAAAAAATACACCCATTACTTAAGCCCCATAACACTAAGAACAAGCATGTGGCGCAATCAGATACTGTTTACTAGAGAGTACAGAGAAGAATTTGAGTACCTTGTCAGCACAAATGAGTAATGAACAATAATGGAAGCATATTTTGAAGGAACTAACCTGACTTTAGTTTCTCGTTTACAGCCCAATCAAGGGCACGCTGTGCAGATTCTGTCAATGGTGGATGCATAGGACTGAAGTAAAACATTTCTGACTTCCCAAGTATTGTTGCTGCCGCGTCACGCACCGTGAGCAATGTGATTCCCTTAGCACGCATAAGTTTTGCCGCGTCACTAGTTCCTGAAAGCAACAAATTTGTAGTTTAGTTGCATCAAAATAGGCATAGCAATATAGAAAACTGATAAACAGCAAATATTAGCTCAACGTTTGGCAATATCATGGTAAATTATGGTATCAGGAATCTTTAGATGTCCACTAAAACAGCAATTGAGCATCAGAGCATGTGTAGTGCATCGTTTATAAGGTGACCTAAGGCGAGCACCAACCATCCTGATACCTAAGCGCCTAAAGCGGGCATAATTGCAAGGCGCTGCCAGGGCGACTTGCCGCCTAAGCGCCCAAGGCTAAGCGCCTAAAGAAGGCAAAATTGCAAGACGCTGCCAGGGCTACTTGCCGCCTAAGCATGCAAGGAGGGATGCCTTATAAATAATGGTGTAGTGTACACGATCCTTTTTATATGTTTCTTTTAAACTACGAAAAAGTATTCTTAGTTTCTTTGAAGCCAATCTCATCAGTCAGTCATAGATACTCTTAGTTTCTTTCTTCCTCCGTTCGGAATTAGTTGATGCTCAAACGGATGTATTTAGACATATTTCAGTGCTACTAGGTACATCAGTTTGATAGTCAACTAATTCCGGAGGGAGGGAGTACAAGATAAACAAGAAATCAATAGCTCAGACTTACTTCTAGTATCTTTCTGAGAAGGAATCTCCAAAATCTTCGAAGTTCTAACGCCTCCATTATTCTTTATAATGTTTTTCTTTCTGGAGAAAATCTATCATTCTTCATTCTCTTCCAATTCATCATATCCCATTTGCAACCACAGTTCACAACTACTTTGCCACACTTAAGTTGCTTACACAAACACCAAGCATAGCAAATAAGCATATGTTCGGGCAGAAATGTAAGCTCAAACGTGGTTGTGCCTCACCTTCAACGAGTATGCCCATAAGCAGCCCCTCGGTGCCTGTGGTTGGGTACCTCATCTTCCGTGCCTCCAGCTCCGCCATTGCAAATGATCGCACCGCCCTCGATGACCACCTGTGTGCAGTGAATCCCCATGTCAGCTCCGTGTATAGACACAAGATGGCGACATGTCGAGGGGATTATAGCTTACCGGATTTTCTTCTCCCCGCTAGCTAGCTCTGGAATCCTGGGAAAAAAACTCCCAAATCAAGCTCGTCACAGGATCCGACCGGAAGTACAATAGTCAAATCGCGCAAAAGTAGTTATACTATGTGCTAAATTCCAAATGTTTCAAGATTTAGGAGAAAACAGCTCAAGTTCAGAAATGTTTATCGGGAACAAATTGTTGAGTGGTCGCAGTATTATTGATCATCCTTACATAGTAGGGAGCTGAGCAACGACGGCGATGCGACGGCCCCGGCAGCGGAAGGTGAGGGTTTGGCCCCCCGCGGCAGCGGCCCGGAGCGAGGCGGGCAATACAGGGGTCGTCAGGAAGGAGATGGAAGGGGAGGGAGCGGTGTGGTGACGGGGGCATGAGAGGAAGGAGAGAAATGTGGCGGCGACCTGGGCGGCGGTCGCCATTGGCGGGCGGGCGGAGGTTTCGGGGTTTCTCGGGGATAGGGGAAGAGATAGAACGAGAGGATAGTTTTTTTAGGGGGTAGAGCGAGAGGAGGAGTTAAATACAGTATCAGCCCTTGTATTTGCCACTGAAGCTCACTTAAGTCCTCCTGCTTGCAAAACGCAAACTTTGCACGCTGTACTCCCTCCGGTCCTTTTTACTTCCCATATAAGATTTGTCTGAAGTCAAGCCTCGTAAAATTTGATCAACTTTATAAAATAAAATACCAACATTCATAATATGAAATCAATATCAGTAGATACATCATGACTTAAATTTTCATATTGTATAACTTTAACATAGTAGATGTTGATTTTTTTTCATATAAATATGGTCAAACTTTATGAAGTTTGACTTCGGACAATTCTTATATGCAGAGTCCAAAGGACCGGAGGGAGTACTTGGACGGTTGACTCGGATTAATTCTAAATCAGCTGAGGCGAGTGAAAAAATGCGGACAGCCATGTAGGCAGATGGACCCAAGCGGCTGGAGATTTTGCATTTAGGCCCTCCCGTGGTTTCTATTAGCATAGCGACCGCGCAAGGAAGATCGGTTGAAGGGGATGACGAATCTAGGGGCCAGGAGGGCCCTCGACTCCATCGCTGTAGGGGTCGACGAGTGAGTCGCCGCGCAATACGGTACGTGATCGTGCTCCTCCCTTTTTTGTCATATTGCAAAGTAGTGCTTTTTAGAACGGATTTGTTGCTGTCATTGGTTGTAGGTCACCAATGCACGTGGTTTCGTATGATTTGGCTAGGAAGTCATGCCGATGATTTAGTTTTGATTTTTTTAATGAATTAGGTGAGAACGGGGATTTGTTCACATGCATGATTTATCATGGAGAGATTTTTCATGGGAACATGAGTGAACAAAGTGGCATTTGGACCGTAAAACTGTTTGGTTTGATTTTTGTAGACTCGGACATGGTTTGCGGAAGTAACCAACGACATTATCGAAGATATCGATTATGAAGCTGCTGACTGAGTGAGGTTGTGTTGTTGCAATATCTTACCCCCTTGGATTTTGGAGATTGTTGTCAAAAGTAATAAGGGATTCATTTGTTTGCTAGTGCATGATACGTCAATTTTGCATCATGCTTTTATATCAATATTTATTGCATTATGAGCTGTTATTACACATTATGTCACAATACTTATGTATATTCTCTCTTATTTTAAAGGTTTACATAAAGAGGGAGAATGCCGGCAGCTGGGATTCTGGCTGGAAAGCAGCAAATATTAGAGACATATTCTGCACAGCTCCAAAAGTCTTGAAACTTCTTGGATGATGTTTTTTAAATATATAAAAAATATTGAGCACAAGAACTTCACCAGGGGGGCCACACCCTGCCCACGAGGGTGGGGGCGCGCCCCCTACCTCGTGGGCCCCCTGGTGGCCCTCCGGTGACCATCTTCTGCTATATGGACTCTTTCGATGGGAAAAAAATCATAAAGCCATCTTCTCAGATGAAACTCCGCCGCCACGAGGCGGAATCTTGGCGGAGCCAATCTAGGGTTCTGGCGGGGCTGTTCTGCCGGGAAAACTTCCCTCCCGGAGGGGGAAATCATCGCCATCGTCATCACCAACGCTCCTCTCATCGGGAGAGGGCAATCTCCATCAACATCTTCATCAGCACCATCTCATCTCAAAATCCTACTTCATCTCTTGTATCCAATTCTTGTCTCCAAGTCCGGGATTGGTGCTAGTAGGTTGCTAGTAGTGTTAATTACTCATTGTAGTTGATGCTAGTTGGTTTAATTGGTGGAAGATCATATGTTCATATCCTATATGCATATTAATATCCCTCTGATTATGAACATGTTTATGCTTTGTGAGTAGTTACTTTTGTTCCTGAGGACATGGGAGAAGTCTTACTATTAGTAGTCATGTGAATTTGGTATTCGTTCGATATTTTGATGAGATGTATGTTATCTCTCCTCTAGTGGTGTTATGTGAACATCGACTACATGACACTTCACCATTGTTTGGACCTAGAGGAAAGCATTGGGAAATAATAAGTAGATGATGGGTTGCTAGAGTGACAGAAGTTTAAACCCGAGTTTATGCATTGCTTCGTAAGGGGCTGAATTGGATCCATATGTTTCATGCTATGGTTAGGTTTACCTTAATACTTTTGTTGTATTTGCGGATGCTTGCAATAGAGGTTAATCATAAGTGGGATGTTTGTCCAAGTAAGGGCAGCACCCAAGCACCGGTCCACCACATACCAAATTATCAAAGTACCAAACGTGAATCATATAAGCGTGATAAAAACTAGCTTGACGATATTCCCATGTGTCCTCGGGAGCGCTTTACATCATATAAGAGTTTGTCCAGGCTTGTCCTTTACTACAAAAGGATTGGGCCACTTTGCTGCACTTTATTTACTTTTGTTACTCGTTGCTCGTTACAAATTATCTTATCACAAAACTATCAGTTACCACTTATTTCAGTACTTGCAGAGAATACCTTGCTGGAAACCGCTTATCATTTCCTTCTGCTCCTCGTTGGATTCGAAACTCTTACTTATCAAAAGGACTACGATAGATCCCCTATACTTGTGGGTCATCAAGACTCTTTTCTGGCGCCGTTGCCGGGGAGTGAAGCGCCTTTGGTAGGTGGAATTTGGTAAGAAAAAATTTATATAGTGTGCTAAAATTTACTTTCACGTGTTACTATGGAAAGTAATCCTCTGAGGGGCTTGTTCGGGGTATCTTCACCCCGACCAGTAGAGCAAAGAGTTGCTCCTCAACCTACTGAACCTACTGAAAATGAAAATGCTTGCTTCGAAATTCCTTTGGGTATGATAGAAAAACTGCTAGCTAATCCTTTTTTAGGAGATGGAACAAAACATCCTGATGAGCATCTAATATATGTGGATAAAGTTTGTGGATTATTTAAGCTTGCAGGTGTACCCGAAGATGTTGTTAAGAAGAAGGTCTTACTCTTATCTTTGAGGGGAGATGCATCGACATGGTATAGGCTATGTGATAATATGGAGTCTTGGAACTACAAACGATTGAAATTGGAATTTCATCAAAAGTTTTATCCTATGCATCTTGTTCATCGTGATCGAAATTATATATATAATTTCTGGCCTCGCGAAGGAGAAAGCACCGCTCAAGCTTGGGGGAGGCTTAAATCAATGTTATATTCATGCCCCAATCATGAGCTCTCAAGAGAAATGATTATTCAAAAATTTTATGGTCGGCTTTCTGATAACAATCGCATCATGCTTGATACTTCTTGTGTTGGCTCTTTTATAATGAAGACTATTGAATTCAAATGGGATTTATTGGAAAGAATTAAATGCAACTCCGAAGATTGGGACCTCGACAATGGTAAGGAGTCAGGTATGACACCTAGTTTTGATTGTGTTAAATCTTTTATGGATACCGATATTTTTCGTAAATTTAGCACTAAATATGTAGTTGACTCTGAGATAGTAGCTTCTTTCTATGAATCTTTTGCTGCCTATGTTGATCTCCCCAAGGAGAAGTGGTTTAAATATCATCCTCCCATAGAAGTAAAAGTAGCTGCACCTATTAAAGTTGAAGAAAAGACTATTACTTATAATGATCCTATTGTTCATACTTCTTATGTTGAGAGAAACCACCTTTCCCTGTTAGGATCAAGGATCATGCTAAAGCTTCAACTGTGGTTCGTAAAAGCAATATTAAAACATATACAACTCCTGAGCAAGTTAAATTTGAACCTAATATTGCTATTGTTAAAGATCTCTTGTCTGATAATATAGATGGGCATGTTATTTATTTCTGTGATGAAACTGCTAGAATTGCTAAACCCCGTGATACAGATAAACCTAGACCTGTGATAGGCATGCCTGTTATTTCTGTTAGAATAGGAGATCATTGTTATCATGGCTTATGTGATATGGGTGCTAGTGCTAGTGCAATACCTATTGACTTATACAACGAAATTATGCATGACATTGCACCTGTTGAGTTAGAAGATATTGATGTCACAATTAAACTTGCTAATAGAGATACTATTTCACCAATGGGAATTGTTAGAGATGTTGAAGTCTTGTGTGGGAAAACTAAATATCCTGCTGATTTTCTTGTTCTTGGTTTCCCACAAGATAGCTTCTGTCCCATTATATTTGGTAGACCCTTCTTAAATACTGTTAATACTTCCATAGATTGCAAAAGGGATGTTGTTACTGTCGGTTTAGATGATATGACTCATGAATTTAATTTTTCTAAATTTAGTAGACAACACCGTGAAGAAGAATTACCTAGTAAAGATGAAATTATTGGTCTTGCCTCTATTGCCGTACCTCCTAGTGATCCTTTAGAACAATATTTACTAGACCATGAAAATGATATGTTTATGAATGAAAGAAGGGAATTAGATGAAGTATTCTTTAAACAGGAACCTATTCTGAAACATAATTTACCTGTTGAAATCCTAGGGGATCCTCCTCCACCCAAGGATGATCCCGTGTTTGAGCTTAAACCTTTACCGGATACTCTTAAATATGCTTATCTTGATGAGAAAAAGATATATCCTGTTATTATTAGTGCTAACCTTTCAGAACATGAAGAAGAGAGATTATTAAAAATTCTGAAGAAGCACCGTGCTGCTATTGGGTATACTCTTGATGATCTTAAGGGCATTAGTCCCACTCTATGTCAACATAAAATTAATTTGGAAGAAGATGCTAAACCAGTTCATGATCATCAACGCCGACTGAATCCTAAAATAAAAGAAGTGGTAAGAAAGGAGATACTAAAGCTCCTTGCGGCAGGTATAATTTACCCCGTTGCTGATAGTCAGTGGGTAAGCCCTGTCCATTGTGTCCCTAAGAAGGGAGGTATTATTGTTGTTCCTAATGATAAAGATGAATTGATTCCTCAAAGAATTATTACTGGTTATAGGATGGTAATTGATTTCCGCAAATTAAATATGGCTACTAAAAAGGATCATTACCCCTTACCT